TGGTCAGGTTGAGAAGCGCCGGTAGCTATAGCGAGTGCTGGGGATACTGAAGCGGCTTAGTGAGGTGATAAATATATATTTATTCTGGGATTTCCTTTGAGAAGATGCTGAGAGCAGAATAGAATATAGCATAGGTATGTCTACTGCCGTGGGTTATGGGAAGGTAGGTGCCCGGGAATCAGGACTGTATGTAGACTCAATGCCTCGGGCTTTAATGTCAATTATTAGCAGGTGCTGTTTGCACTTCTATGATATCATTGGGTGCTGAGGGATCGCAGAGGATATAAATGTCATTTGCAGTCATTAACACTACTAGAGGATGCCGGGGATATTACAGCATCTATTGGAGGAGATTTAGCCCGGGTTCACACTGACGCAGTGCAGAATTCGCAGCGTTTTCTGTGCAAATTCAGAATCGCACCCCTCGAATCGAACCACTGCGGGTGTGTATGTTAAGTTAACAACACCCCGAAATCTGTTTGCAAAACGCGGTGCGATGTGCAGAATCGGATGGCATAGGTGTGAATACCCATGCGATCCGATTCTAGTGCGGATCCAAAAAAAGGGTCCTGCAGTTTTTTTTTGTGCGGATGTGGTATGATTTGGCTCAAATAGCACCGCACACAATTCGCATGTGATTTGCACAGGAATGCGGTGCGGTTGCTGTGCGAATCACATGTGATGTACTGAACCACATATATGTGAACCTGGGCTTACTAAGGCCTAGTTCACATCTGTGCATTTTGCAGAAACATACTACAGCCCCATTTAACATGGTTTCCTATGGGACATGTTCACATCTATGCATTTTTCAGCCGCTGCGTTTTTGGAAAGGGTCAGGGACTTTTTTAAACACAACACGGTGCGTTTTTAGTTCAATAGACTTCAGTGAACATATTTCCATTTTATTTATTTATTGCCAATAGGAAAATATTGACTGATGCCACTTTGATGTGACTTTGGATGGGTGTGACTTTGATGCAACTTTGTTTTTTTTGTCTGCTAATAGGAAAGTATGGCAGTTCTTAAGTAGTGTGACTTGTTTCATGCAACACTCTCTGGCACTCAAGTAGCGTCAAAGCCACACCTATCCAAAGTTTCATCCATCCAAAGTCCCATCCATGTTGCATCCATCCAAAGTCCCATCCATGTTGCATCCATCCAAACTCCCATCCATGTTGCATCCATCCAAACTCCCATCCATGTTGCATCCATCCAAACTCCCATCCATGTTGCATCCATCCAAACTCCCATCCATGTTGCACCCATCCAAACTCCCATCCATGTTGCACCCATCCAAACTCCCATCCATGTTGCACCCATCCAAACTCCCATCCATGTTGCACCCATCCAAACTCCCATCCATGTTGCACCCATCCAAACTCCCATCCATGTTGCACCCATCCAAACTCCCATCCATGTTGCACCCATCCAAAGTCCCATCCATGTTGCACCCATCCAAAGTCCCATCCATGTTGCACCCATCCAAAGTCCCATCCATGTTGCACCCATCCAAAGTCCCATCCATGTTGCACCCATCCAAAGTCCCATCCATGTTGCACCCATCCAAAGTCCCATCCATGTTGCACCCATCCAAAGTCCCATCCATGTTGCACCCATCCAAAGTCCCATCCATGTTGCACCCATCCAAAGTCCCATCCATGTTGCACCCATCCAAAGTCCCATCCATGTTGCACCCATCCAAAGTCCCATCCATGTTGCACCCATCCAAAGTCCCATCCATGTTGCACCCATCCAAAGTCCCATCCATGTTGCACCCATCCAAAGTCCCATCCATGTTGCACCCATCCAAAGTCCCATCCATGTTGCACCCATCCAAAGTCCCATCCATGTTGCACCCATCCAAAGTCCCATCCATGTTGCACCCATCCAAAGTCCCATCCATGTTGCACCCATCCAAAGTCCCATCCATGTTGCACCCATCCAAAGTCCCATCCATGTTGCACCCATCCAAAGTCCCATCCATGTTGCACCCATCCAAAGTCCCATCCATGTCGCACCCATCCAAACTCC